TTTTGCAAGTGTGTCATTCACCTGTTAATGTGCGATCACATTTAGGCTACTGTTGTTCGGCAAATTTTCGTGGGCAAAATCCAGTCGTTTTAATAGGAATTTGCCCCATCAGAAGGTAATTTCGACTTTTTATCTCACAAGTTAACTCTAACTTTAATTTGGCTTGAGTTTATATAATTCTTTTTCTCAGCATTCTCAGAATTATGAGATAAGAGCTCAGAATTCTTTTTTTTCTCGAATTCTTTTATTCATTTATCTTTTGTTCCTGCCATGAAAAAAAAAGTATTTTCAACTTTAATGTCACAATTCTAGCTCTTTTTTTCCTCGCAATTGCAAGTTTATTTCTCCAAGTAGGCTAATTCTCCGAACAATTTTTGCCCGCGAAAATCCGCTAACGTGGCAGCGAATAGCCTACCACTTTATGATGTGACTGTTCCCTTTAAAAATAAACAACGACTGACAAATGAAATCACCACATAGGCTAATTCAAACAGAATTCCTCACACTATCAATATTTCAGTACTGTATTGGGCTTATCATGCAGGAACAATATTGATTTCTGAAATGAAAAATTGTGAAAACATTAGGCAGATCGCTGGGAACGACCCACAAGAATTGCTTGGTAGCCTATTTGTGTGGCAGCCATTGTCGAATGGTGAGAACGACCTTTCTGTGTTATTATAACTGGCATTTGTCATAAATCAGCATTGAAGCCTCACATAGACTGAGATTTACCCAGCAGGCAGTTCAGCAAACACACTGAGGAGGGCAGTGAGGTGTCAGTGATCGCATGGATTCTCATGCGCCGGGCACACGGTTCTGCATCAGAGATATTGACTCTGGCACAACATGAAGAGGAACACGTTTACACAAATAATTAAACCCAGCACTCTTTTACAACCCATGTTCAGGCTGGAGACCAAACAAGATGGTAATTTGGTAATTTGTTCCACATGTTGGCATCAGGCTTGAAATAGGCCTACAGTGTTGTTACATGATTGTACCTTTCAGCATAGGTCTTAAAAGAGAAGAAAATACTTGATTTCCATTTGCCATAAAATTACGAGACACAACAGCCAAACAAATCAAATTTCCTCATGAAAAAAAAAA